CACACACACACACACACACACACACACACACACACACACACACACACACACACACACACAGGCGCGCGCTACAGAGCTTTTAATATTATATATACAAATATGCATATAACATTTTTAATCGATTACACTTAACCTTCAATACACATAACCGTCAAACACGCTATGACAGCTGCTCACGAAGTGAGCGCAGCGAGAGAATCAAATCGACACGACATCCGCTCACGACACGAAGTTACGCACGCGATAAGATCGAGCTCCAACAATCAATCCGCATCGCGGAAAAGAGGCAACAATGAATTCGACTATCGATTTAACGTCTCAATTTTATAATAGGAGTATTTTCATCTTCAATTCTTCATGATTATTACATCTTTTTTTCTGAATATGGTATAAAATATTTCAAACACCTATATGAAGATTAAAATTTTAATTTCAATAATGTCAGTGCGGCCGAATTATTTATTGCCACAATAAATATGAGATGAATACATAAATAAATAATCTGCAATGAGCCTTTACATATAATTTATATCGCAATGTCGAGAGAATGCTCATTAATTCTTTTTCCTTTTTTTACACAGAGAGCTTGCACAACGGAGGCAAGATGAACAGTCTTGCTCGATCGAATGCCAGTATTTACGGCACGAAAGATGATCTTTACGACAGACTGAAGCGTCACGCGTATACCGGTAAAAAAGGTACAATCCCGCAACTACCCTCGTAATCATATTAATCAACGTCGGCTCATCATACGTGCAGCCATCCGAAAATTACTGCCAACAGGATCGAATGCAACAAAGTCACGCGCACGACCGCATACTTATTTATTAATTAATTTAAGCCTATGTATTACTCCCTTCGTCTATTTACTATCATTAGAACACGTAACAAATTTCCGCTCCACTTGATTTAACAGCAGATTGGAAAACGTCAGCGCGCTATCTCAGAAACGTCTCCGAGCGTGCGGCGCAGCAAATAACATTACGAAATATCCATTTTGCAGATAAGAGTGACAGCGACAGCGAAGGCCAGTGACCGGGTAGAACAATGACTTTCACGCCAACGTAGAATACGAAAAAGCGGGAGATATCAGTGTAATCAGACGGAGCGACGACAGTATCTCATCCTTCGAGCGACGTCGTCGTCGTTGCTCCCCAACCGATCGACGGATCTTATTATTTATTACATTACCATTCTGTACGACGTCGCGCGAGATCTGCGATCTTTCTAATCGTGCGACCGAATATGAAGAGAGAGAGAGAGAGAGAGAGAGGGAGGGAGGGAGGGAGAGAGAAAAAGAAAGAGAAAAACGAAAGAGGCCCGATCGAAATCGCGAGATCTCGCGTCGACGCAAGAGATGCGCTTCGATCGACAACTGGCGAGCGACGCAAGCGCAAGAGTCCTGGAACGACGATCGGCAGACCATGCACCGATTGTCGCTTCGGCACGCGTCCGGCAAATTTGAGCCACGCCGGAGAACCGCAAAAGAGAGAAAAAATGAAATGGAATCCGTCTTTCGAAGTGAAATTCGATGCGTGTTCAATGATTAAAGAAACGCGCGAGGTTGTATTTTTTTGTAATTTAATAGAACGCTAAGAATCCCAGTCCCAACACCACCACATCACCCCATCCCCCTCTTTTTATTAACTCATACCAATCGACGGTGCGTACATGAGAGAAACTGTGTGCTTGTATGTTAATATAACTATATACGTGGATTTATATTTTGTTACTCGGAAGGTATACGCATCACGTTGTAATATAATAGTGTGCGACAAGCGCAACGGAGAAGTTTGACGAGATTTCAAGTTTGATTTCGACAACTGGAAGACAAAAAGTTAAAGAGCCAGGAGGGAAGTCTCGTGAAAAACCCCGCGACGCCGAGAAGACCACGTTCATTCGCGATGACCAAAAAACATTAAACATTCACATTCAGTGTACTCTTTCACGCGACGACATCTCTGTAAAAAAAAGTAAGGGAATGTGTAGAGTCGCCTAGTGTGACAAACGATATGACCTCTGTGCCTGCGCGGCGAGCGTGTACCAAACGATGCCTACCACGCTGTTTTCCATTTATGTTGTAAAAACTTTAACAAATAGTTGTTTTTTTATTAATAAAATGTATTTCAATACCTCCTGCAGTATTTTTTTCCATTGCACTCCTATTCTTATAATTTATTTTATTTATACTGTTTACCTTATTAACATATATGTATTTTACTTGTGATTGTGTATTTCAAATTCTTAGTATATAGGGTAGGCCATTTTAATCAATACGCGAATATCTCATTAGGTAAGCAAGATAGCGAAAAATATTTCAGATCAAAGTTGTATGACTTTGAGGGAATATAAGATAGTGTCATTAGTTTGACCTTGAATAGTTGCTTGAAGGTCACGTAAAGGTTACCTTCAATTTCTTAAATGGATACCCTTATTTTTTATTGCATATTCTTGTAGCGTACCTCGAGGGCTTTCCAAAACACTATAATAAAATATTTTTTCATCAAGTACTTTTTTAGTTTTGATGCTCGAAAGTTACAGTACCTCTGGCATTTAACATTATCCAAGATGTCCGACCGACAGCTAAAATCTCTTAAATGTTGTTTAAGGTCATGAACTAGATAACATTTGTTAAGATCAAGGCCATTGGAGATTGTTCTCCTTATTTTCATTTTTACACTAAAAATTCATTTTAACGTAAAAATGAAAGTAAAATATACAACTTCCAATGACCTTAATTTTGATAAATACTATCCAGTTCATGGTCCTAAACAACATTTAAGAGATTTTAGCTATCGGTCGGACATCTTGGATAATGTTAAATGCCGGAGGTACTGTAACTTTCGAGCATCATAACTAAAAAAGTACTTTTGATGAAAAAATATTTTATTATAATGTTTTAGAAAGCTGTCGAGGTAAGGTACAAGAATATCCAATGAAAAATAGGGGTTCCCATTTAAGAAATTGAAGGTGACCTTCACGTGACCTTCAAGCAACTATTCAAGGTCAAACTAATGACACCATCTTATGTTCTCCCTCAAAGTCAACAACTTTGGTCTGAAACATTTTTCGCTATCTTGCTTATCTGACGAGATATTCGCGTGTATTGATTAAAATGGCCTACCCTGTATTAAAATAGTATCGATTTTTAATGTCTTTTCAAACTTTTTATTTCCGTTAACTGTTTTATCCGCTTTTATTAGATTTACTTTGTACATTTTATGCTTAAGATCGAGCTGTATTATTCAACTGAGACATATGTGACGTAATTTTATCTGTTACATTTTATGCATAAATCAAATATAAAAACTATTTCTATTTTAATTTATATAATATAACTGATGGACCCTTATAGCTTAGTACCGACAATGGTTTACTTGCTATTTGTGGATAATTACCACAGACTTGGTAATTACACGGTGAATTGAGCAGATAACACTAATGAGTTATGCAGGCTGTCCGTCTGACTCGATTACATCAGTTTATTGCTCAATTTGTTCATTCTGTTTTCAAATTATCAGTATAGCAAAATGTGGAACGTCATGGTTGTGATATAAAAATTTCATCGGTTATGTGTGTGTGTTATAAGTAATTGCTTTCTCTGACTCTGCCAGGAGATAATTATTAATTTCTGTAATTTATTATATATTACTATAGCTCCGTATTGATACTTTATAACACCATATTTAGTTTATATTTTTGTCACAACGTTTCGTTTATAATAAAAAAGAGGAAACTTTTTCTAAAAATCAATATGACCAACCATATATATAGGCATACGATTGTACACACATGTATTATAAGGTTTTTTTTTATTATTTTTATTATTTCAGACATAAATTCTAATTAAACAGCTACTAAACGTCGTGGAGATAAGTATGAGTAAGTAAGTAAATAAAGTAGAGTTAATTATTTGAAAAATTCTTTATATATGTCCATAGATATGTCAATTATATTAAAAAAAACTTATAATCTTTTATAAAAATAACATTAAAAATTATTTTATTTTTCATTTTTCTAATACATTTTTACGAAAAGAAAAAAGACAGACGGATTTGTGTGTGTGTGTGTGTGTGTGTGTGTGTGTGTGTGTGTGTGTGTG